TTACATTTGTCAGTCTGTGCCTTTTAATCGTAAGTCCTTCCTTTCTAAAGTTTGATGTACCATTCAGTAAGTGTAATGTACCTTTCAATAAGTCTAATGAACCTTTAAATAAGTCTGATGTACCTTTCAATAAGTCTAATGTACCTTTGTCTTATGTGTGCCTTTCACGAAGTCTAATGTACCTTTCAATAAGTCTATTGTACCTTTGTCTTATGTGTACCTTTCACTAAGTATAGTGTACCTTTCAATAAGTCTGATGTACCTTTAAACAAGTCTAATGTACCTTTCACAAAGTCTAATCTACCATTCAATAAGTATAATGTACCTTTAAATAAGTGTTATGTGTACCTTTCAATAAGTCTAATTGTTTCACATACTGCGGACAGGTTTTGGCCAGGGTCTGCCGCGTGGGCAGACACTTGAGCTTTGGGAACCTCGCCAGGAGCTTCGCCTCACCTTCGACCAGGTCGCTGTCGGGCTTCGCTGGTTCAGCCTCGTCCGCTGAAAAGTTATAGAATATTTTTATGTTATGTTTTATAAGAATAACTTTATTAACACACATAACAAGACAATACAAAGGTTATATTTAAAAGAAAGAAAGAAATGTTTGTTGATAGGGCGCCCGCTAAGTTTTAGTTGGGACACCTTGAAGGATGTCCCGACACTGGTTTTCAGCAGGAAGCCCTACAGCAATTGCGCATCCCTATTATTAACATCCCTTTCGCTAATAGAATATTTGCGTTAATTAATAATAAATATTCTTGGGCATAGTGAGGGCAGGCCTCCCACTAGGTAGACCGACGATCTGGTCAAGGTCGCGGGAGGTGCCTGGATGCGGGCGGTGCAGGGCCGGTCTTTGTGGAAAAGTTGGGGGAGGCTTTTGTCCAGCAGTGGACGTCTTTCGAACGTAATATTCTGGTAGTCTGTAAACACTGCGCCATCCAGTCCCAAACTATGAAAAGAGCTTGTACTACGAGTACCTAGACAATGGATATTTAACTTAATACATCATACAGCAGATCTGATAAATCTGCCAGAATCCTTTTTTTGCTTCTATATCTTCTTCTTATATCTTTTTGCTTTATTTTGAAGAAATTTATATATATTTAGTTAAGACAAATAAAGTAACAATTTTCTTGTAAAATAAATGATACTAATAATACGCACAATAATGATCATCTTCAGGCACATAATCTGGGTCTGCATCGGTGTTGTCGGGCTCCACATCGATCAATTCTTCTTTAATTACTTGAACATCAATTTCTTGCTTGACTTCCACATCCTTGAGAGCGTCTATGCTTACCGGCACTGGAAACAAATAGTGAATTAGCTTTAGTGATTAATTTAATTAATCTTTTTTATTCAATTCAGATTCATTCAACAAGGAGATTGGAGGTCTTGTGGGTTGACAAATAAAACAAATGCAAAATCAAATCAAAACAAGTTAGGAAGCTATATTTTACAACCGAGGGAGAGGACAGTTGTTTAAAATAACAGGGAAGGTGGTAACAGTGTTTGAATTGCAGTATCTTGCCAAAAAGATGCGGAATACAAACAAGGGATACCAGGAAGGCCAGTACTTTGACATGCCTAGATAGGGAACATCACTTAGGCCTGTACAATATTACCTATTTTCTAAAATAGCAATAAATTATCTAGTAGGTACCTAAAGAGTATAAATATGTATTTATTTCCCGAAAATGAAACAAAAGTACAATTTTAAATAGCAGTCTTTACACTATACAGCTATTTCAATTTTATAGTGTTTACCATTCACGAAAGTCATCTGGTTGTCCCCTGGTTCCTTCCGAGCAGCGCTCAGCAGTTGCTGCTCCGTCGCCACCACCATCATGCGGAAACTGATCGCCTCGCGAAGCCGCTGGACGCAGGACGAACATATCAGTGTGCTGATGTTTGCGTCTGTTGAGAGCTGGAAGACAAGAATAAAAAGGGCCATGTTTAATAAAAGATTTAGATTATAAAGCCGGTGTTTTGCCCTAAACAATTAATTTAAAAAATGTCAACATTCAACATTTTTTGTAGGTAATTTTGTTAAAAGTTGACATGTTTTTGGTGATTGTGTATTGCGAACACGTGCTGGAGATCGAGCTTAACTAGTTTTTTTCGAACACTTGTACACATCGCAGATTATTTCAAATATTCACAAGTGTGGTGAACCTGAACTAAACCCGTAAGTGCTTAAAAGAGTAAAAGGATCTAGCAAATCAGGTACATAACACGTATGCGAATTACGGTTGCTAATAAGTACGCTGCTTAAACTCGAAAATAAATAATTTATAGACTTTTTACTTACGAACAAATTGTAGCATTCCCTAAAAATTTCAAAGTACACTTCGCGTATGCCATTACAAAAGTATTCTTTCATAATATCCCGGTGATATCCTGTGCCTAAGCAACAACGACACTGGCCGTAGTTTGCCAGAGTTTTTGACTCCATGATTCTTTAAATTATACAGCGAAAATAATTAATTTTTCTATCAAAACAACAAATAAGATCAAAATCAANGCCAAAAAAAACAACAAATAAGATCAAAATCAAAAAGAAATCAACAAATTTACGCATTTTGACATTTTTAGTTTTTTAACCAACTAGTGCGTGCCCAAGTGCCCAACACCATAATCGGTTTTCCTTTTTCCAGAGAGCAGCCTTTTTCTGCCTCCGATTAGTGATTTACAATGCAGAAACAAAACGCATTTGGTTAAAAAAATATTTTTTTCAGGTTTCCACTAAAGATGTGTCGAGGGTTTTTGAAATAACTAAACGCGACGGTTTTCGAATCACGAATAACGTTTTCAAAACTAGTTTTTTTTAAACGAAGTTATTTCCACAACTCTCAAGCAAGTGTGATAATTATAACGTTAGGTGTTTGGTTAGCTGCAAGGCATTTAAGAACTTATGACCTTCAAAATAAGACTCAAATTCAATTGAATATCTAACGTACGACGAACATTATACCTATTTCATCCACACTTATGTTAACGTCCTATGGCTTTCTCACTCGCACACGCACTCGTTTCGTTACAATCCTTATTAATTGGACACCATACATTACTCGCTTTACTCGTTTAGGTTACAAAAAATATGTTTAAGAATCGTCAATGTACGACGTTGTCCTCAAATCTGTCATAACGAAGCGGGAAACACGTTATTTTTTATGTCAACCAAACATCTACCTTATGTTGTTTGCTTAAGAGTGAATTCAGTTTAGCTTTAGAGCGTTGTGGAAACAATCGTGTTGAATAACGAAGAGATTCTAACGTTGTATGTCGTTAAGGCCTAATTCACACGAGAGCTTTTTTAACGTCCGTTAAAAAAGCGTTCAAATAGAACATAATATGCATACCCAAGCCTATTCCCAACGCTCTGCGTTGAAAATGCAACACTGCTCGATAAAAAAGCGTCGCGTTTTAAAAGCGCCGACGTGTGAACACGTACTTGGGTATGCATATGTTCTATTTGAACGCTTTTTTAACGGACGTTAAAAAAGCTCTCGTGTGAATTAGGCCTTAACGAAGAGATTCTAACGTTGTATGACGTTAAGAAAAAAACTAGTTTAGGCGTTTCTGGATAACGAGTGATCACTGGTCAGGCTGATCACTCGTTTAATAACCCGTGATAACGAATAACGCCCATCGCTAGTTTCCACTTTCCATTAATGTATGATGTCCATGTAATAAATCAAAACATAAATTTTTACAAAACACCTGAAATTCAGTAACTTAAAAGTGTGTGAGGCAGTTAATTACATTCTAAAGTGTGTAAAAAATAGAAAAATAAACAAGTTAAAATAACTTTTTTATTCAAAAACCTTATCAAAAACATACAATATCGTAGCAAACATAACAACTGCACAGCCAGAATCTAACAGAATTATCATTTTATTTGACTTTTACATTTTACAACACTGTAACTTCAAGCTTTTTTCTCCAACAAGTCTACATAAGCACAGTCAATCAGATCTTCATTTTTAACACCGAGTTTGGTTTGCAAGTCCTTGGCAATAACTTGACCTTCTTCTACAGTCTGTTCTGGCCGCAGCACAACTTCTAACTCCATGAAGTCTCCGAGGTCCTGCACAGAGTCTATGTGGATCCGAGTTTGATCAACCATGTACAGTTTCCTGGAATGTAAAAAAATAATAATAAAAGAATAACAAATTACAATACAATAATGACTTACTTATGAAGATACCTTTTTGAAGCAACAGTACAGTCAGAAATTTAGTTTTCATCATACCCTCAACCAAATGTAATAATAAGAAACTGACCTTTCTTTGATAACCCGTCCTCTCGCCCCCATACACTGGGTTAGCATCTTATCTAGCAATTTCGCTTTCTCACTGTCGGTCACTGAAAAATGCAGCAAATCATAATCTGCTAGTTTCGGGCCCTCTTGGTCACTACGTTCGTATCTTACTAGAGTGGCTGATTCATCTGCGTAGTATCTCATCTTCAAACGCCCATTATTCACTCGGTAAAAAACATCGTCCTGTTTGATTATTGTCGGAGGACCACCACTGAGTTGTTCGGCTACTTTGCAAATGTTTTCAAGATTTGTTATCTTCGCTTTTATCTCAACGTTACGCATTTTGGATTAATTAACACAAAAACAATGAAGTGGATAGTGAAATTACAGTAATTTAACTGTAAAAACCTAAAAAACGAGATATCGCCGGTAAAAAAAGAAGCGAATGTTTTTTTTCCCGCCTTGGCGTGTCAAATGTCAATGTCAAGCTAGAACATCCGTTCAGAAAATGATTTGAATCGACGCGCAACTATTTTCATTCGATTGTGTTTAAAAGTACTTACGATATAGGTAAGCAGCTTTTCTGAACGAATTTTATGCAGTCATATTTGAATGGTCAAGAATTTTTTAAACTTACATTCTTTCTCTTTTCCTATTATACTATCTTGTGTATGTGTAAAAGAGATAAGCTGCCTAAAATGTCATCTTTATAAACTATTGAATCTGATGGTATTATAATTTGTGCAAAAATGTCAAAAAATCGTAAAAAAATTGTATCTTAGCAGTTGTTTTAGTGAAATTTTAACTTAAAATAATGGATTTAGAAAATATAAACAGCTGGGTCTCACAGCCAGATGTATGCAGGTGTTGCCTTTCGGCCAGCGGGACGTGGGATGTCACGGCTTCTTACATATCTGATTCGGGAATCAAGGAAGTGTATTTTGAAATGCTTCGAGATTGTTATGGTATTACTGTGAGTATTCTAGTTTCTAAAAACGTGACCTTAACATTTTATCTTGCTTGCTAACCGGTAGATTTTGCAGTAATAAAAATATTGTGACTAAAAGTTTTTTGTATCCAACTGCATTCTAATTAGAATTGTTATCACCTTAATACAGCCTATACATGCATTATAGCTGACTAAGTAGCCTTTATAGAACTTAAGGCTTACTATATTTTTATATTCTTTTTACATTGTCCATGTATTAAATGCCTAAGGTGCTAAATAAATTATTTTTTATTTTTTTCTTTATTTAAACAAGATGTCTGCCTTCATTCCCCAGTTGTCCTATCTCTCCAAGTGGGGCCCGAGCCGGATGGTGTGCAAGCTGTGTGTGGGTCACCTGAGGGAGGCCTGCAGCTTCCGCGACCAGGTCAGGGCTGCGGAGAAACATTTTACAGAATACTGCAGCAGTAGAGGTGAGAAATTCTCTTGTATTGTAAGATTTTAAATTTTCTTTCTTCTTTCCATTTTAATTATCTTGTAATCTGTATGTATCTTTATCACCTGTGAACTTAACCCAACTATAATGAATCTGCTATCAATACAACTGACAGCCACTCTTCCTTCAATGCACACCCTGCCAAAAAGTTTCTAAGTTAGTTTTGTTTATAATTTAATTAATGAACATTTTTCTTTCTTTCTTCCAAAGTTTAAAAAGATTTTATAAGTTATTATTTACATTATTTTATGGGAAATAACTTATTTAAAATCTTTATTAATTGTTAATTGTCTTATAGAAGTTGTTTTTTTTCTGACTTATTGGCAAATCTTGGTTAGTTGGCAAACTGTATACAACTCGCACAGCAGCAACACAAGTTACCTCTGTGTGTTAAGTCGTAACTGCTATCATTGCATTCCATCTGCTATGAGCTAGTTAGATAGATAGTTAAATACTGTTATATCCAACTAATATAATTATTTAATTTCAGACCATAACACTGGCATGGTGACAGTAAAATTAGAAGAAAATGTCAAAGCTAACAGTCCAGAAGCTGATTTCAGTGATAGGGGAGTCCCATCTGAAGGTAAATATCTTGTTTATTGGTTTTGATTTTGGACATTATTTTATATGAATTAAAGTTTACAATATATCAGTATCATTAGAAGGGATTTAATAAGCTTATTTAGAACCTAATGTTCTTGTTTTAAGATCTTAGGATTGCTTTTTGGTGAAATTGACGTAAAAATAATAATCCAAACCACCATGTGTGGTCAGTTCAGTCTGCACATATTTGATGTACTTAAATTTGACTATTCTTACCTAATAGATAATTCCTGGCAATAAGTGGTGACTGAGTTTGTTCCGGCGTTTCTTCTCAGCACTTGCCATATGTTTGTCTCGAAGCGCTGGTAGGGCCCAAAAGATAAGGAGACATGTAAAGTGCCCCATAAGGGCTACCTTTTCTTTTTTTATTATTTTCTATTGACGTTCATAAGTGCCACTTGTGGTCTAAACTGAATAAATATTTTTGATTTTGATTTTTTTGATTTTGAAACCACACTAAGTGGCTGGAACAAATTATTATTATTTTGTTTCATTTACTTGTAATATTATTAGCTAAAGGACTCCAATTTTTTTCCTTTCAGACGAAAACAATCTAATATCGCCTCCAGTTGTAAAACCTGAAAAAAGAATACAAAAGAGAAAGAAACAGAAAACAGATAAAGTGAGACGAAAGAAAAAGAAAACTGAAACGGAATACGATTCAGACACGCCCATTGCCAACATGATAGATAAGAATGAACCTTCATGCGATGATAATAAGGCTGTGATTGGAAATGTAAAAGATGAAATTCCCAATGTTGAGAGTAAGTGAGGTATTTTTATTTTTTATTTGAGGTCATTTCTTAACTTATTTTTGATTCAGAGTTGCTCATCTTTATTTTTATAGTTTGGTAGTTTATGTAAACTGTATCTACAATTTTATAAAACATATTGAATGAAATTCTTATACATTTTGCCTTCACATTTGTAATTTTCCATCTCAATAATGTGAAAATCCAAACAACCTGTTAAATCTTTTGAAAAATTTCTAATTTTGTGGCTGCTTGACTGCTGGCGACATAAATATTATATGAAAAATACATAATTATTTGACTTATGGGTTATGTTGTGAGACGAAAAAAATCCGACTCAAGGTATCAATATTAGTAATTTGACTTTTATAACTAGGCCGCGGTGGTAATCAAACAAATAAATAGCATTTTTATTTTTAGGGCCACCGCATACCGGGGCGAACGGTGCCAAGCACTTATCGGACCGGAAACGCGTCATGCTGACGTGTGACGTTGTCCTTAGACACACCACCGCGTGCCCCTTCCGTCACCACAAGAGCTGGTTCCAATGCTTCTTCTGCTCACAAGGCTTCATGGAAATGAACCTCCTCAGAAACCACACCCTCCAAGATCACTCAAATGTAGACTCCGAAATAAAAAAAATAAAACGCTACCCGCGCTCCCTCCAAATCGACATTTCGAATTTAGAATGCCGCAACTGTCACTCGCCGATGACAGATGTCAACGAAATGCGCCGCCATCTTAGCGACGCGCACAGTAAAGTCATTTACAACGAGTGCATAGCCGATTATAAGGTTAACGCCAGTCCGTTTACGTGTCATATTTGCAAACAGGAGTTCCACGTGTTCCGAACTCTGACTACCCACATAAACGAGCATTACGCGAACTGTATTTGCGAGGTTTGCGGGAAATCGTTCCTTAATTCTAAGAGGCTTAAGGTTCACAAACGCACTCACGAATCTGGAAACTTCCCTTGTTCCGAATGTGGGAAGGTTTTGAAGACGAAGACTTCCCAAGCTAACCACATGGAGAGTGCTCACTCTAAGAGACAAATGAAGTGCCAGATCTGTTTTAAGCCCATGAAACATTATAATGAGAGGATCAAACACATGTCGGAAGTTCACAACATAACGCATAAGTTCAAATGTCCTATATGCGGTAGGGAGTACAATATAAAACATTATTTGGCGACTCACATACGCCAGACTCACGGGCATAAGAATAAAAAGTGCTCTGAGTGTGGCATGGCCTTTATTACGAATCATGGCTTGAAAAAGCATATGCTTAAACATTCAGGAGTCAAGCCGTTTTCTTGCAATGTCTGTAGTAAATCGTACGCAAGGAGTTATACTTTGAAAGAACACATGCGGGTTCACGATAATGACAGGAGGTTTGGTTGCCCTGAGTAAAACTGAAGGCGCCATCTCTAGAGTTCTAAAGCCTGATCTGTGAGCACGTAGAATTTTGTCCAATGACCCCAAGCTACCCATCCTTATCGCACGCGCGTAATTATATTGCTGTCGCGACTGTGCGACGGGCGCCCTCAGTGAGTGTGCAAGCGGGACAGCAATATAATTACGCGCAAACGATAAGGATGGGTAGCTTGGGGTCTTTAGACAAAATTCTACGTACTCGCAGACCAGACTATAGACAGGCAGGATTGATAGTAGGCAGAAACCAAACGGTTCTTACCACTGCTTCGGGACAAATAATGGGACGTTGTGCTGAGAAGAAGCACCGCAAGGAACTCAGTCACTATTCAGACATTAAGTCCAATGTCATAAGTAAATTCCTGTCCCAATGTCTATAGACTGAAAAAGAGTCACTAAAATAGGCTTAAATTGCTACAACGCTAACAAATATTGTATTTTATTTTCAGCGAATAAATTAGGGCTGGTATCGTTAAAAGTGCAAAGAAAGCAAAAGATACCTTCACAGAGCATCATCGACAACCGCTCACTTCGCTCCAATATAACTTTAGTTCTCAAAAACACCTCTGTAGTTCCTTTCAGGCATATAAACAACAGTAAATTCGCGTGCCTGTATTGTGAAAAGGGGTTTCTATTCTTCAAAGAATTGAAATCCCATATGGAATCTCACAGGAATATAACGGAAGAAGAGATTAACGTGTCTCTAAAAACTCCTAGAGATTTAATAAAGGCTGATCTAAGCGAAATATCCTGTACGCTTTGTGGGGAAAACTTCAAAAACATCGACAGTGTTATAGAGCATTTGGTAGAAGTCCACAAAAAGATTTATCATCAGAACTTACGGATGAAACCTCCTCACGGGATTTTGGGTTTCGATCTTAGCTCCGAACAGTTAAAGTGCAGTGTGTGTCAGAAACAGTTCAGGTTTTTTAAGAACCTATCTGTCCACATGAACGAGCACAGCACATGTTTTATGTGCCACGTGTGCGGCAAAAAATTCATATCGGACCATAGATTGCAGACGCATATTATGATGCACAAACGGACGAATATATTCTGCAAGCATTGCAACAAAGACTTTAAGACTGTGGCAGCAAGGAACTACCATATACGGAAGGAGCATAACGAAGCTCCTTACAAATGTCCGGAGTGTTCTGAAAGTTTTACGCAGTACCACCACAGGTTGAAGCATTTGGTTGAGCGTCATAAGGTGAAGAAGCCAGAGTTTAAATGCGATATTTGTGGGCGGGAGTTAGCTAGTTCTGGGGGGCTTGCAGCCCATAAAAGGTATTCCCACTTGAAAACAGTTCAGTACCCTTGCGAATTATGTGGGAAAGTATTCGCGTACAAATGGATATGGCAGAGGCATATGGATGTCCACACTGGTGCCAAAAACTTTGAGTGTAAGTTCTGTAATAAGAAATTCGCTAAGTCGTATTCACAGCAAATGCACGAAAGGATTCATATGAATGATAAAAGGTACGTCTGCGGAATATGTAAAGCGGCGTTTATACAGAAGTGCAGTTTGAAGAACCACACTAAAGTCCATCATCCGGAGGCTGATTTGAGCAAATTGTGAATTGGAATATGTATTACTGTGATGTGATTTCTAGTCAAAATTAAATAAAAAATCAAAACATTGAATTAATTAAAGAGTAGAATTTTTTCAATCGCCAGTGGTGTCAAAAGTAAACCTTGCTCTAAAGTAACTGGTGAGAGAAAAACTGCCACATTAGCTTGCTCACGCTATCGGTTATTTATTGATCTCTATTATGATTGTACCCTTTCTGCCATAATCACTGCGATAGTATTTATTTAATATTTTTGCTAATCTATAAGTAATGTAAATAAATATGTAATTTTTTAATCGTCTTTTATTTATTTATTCAAAATTCACGGAGCGCAGTAGGTAGTACGACGTAGAAAATATGGACAGCAAAAATTTGAGTGAGATCTTAAGAGTAGGCGCACACCGTTGATTTTTAGTTGGCCGATAGTTGTGCCTGATTTTAAATTGTATGAAAAATCGGCCAAATCGTCGGCGTAGTGTGCGCACTCCCATACATGCCCATACTGATCAACTGCCCGACTAAACTATCGGCCGACGAAAAATCAACGGTGTGCGCCTACTCTAAACAGTTGTAATGGAAGCTATTTTGTATCAAATGACGTGCTGTTCCTATTTAAAAAATACGTCGTTACGTGTCGTTACTTTATAGAGGCTGGATCAGACTGAACATTAGAATCCATTTATGAAAATACGAGAAAATAACCATACGGTGATCTTCGGTCCACTATCAAGGTCATGGCCAACTCATTCCGATTAAACCATCACGTCTCCTTTGACATCAATCTGAATGTCTAATTTCTCGATTTAGTTTAGTGTCGCCACTTCCCTAGCAAATGTCCGATTATGGTGCTACGCTGCATTTTGGCATCAGCTGTTGTTGTTTTTTCATTGTTTTTGTTGTTGTTGTGATTGCATTGCTTTTTGTGGAATTAATTTTTTAAAAATCTTCATAAACATCAATTTATTTATTGAAGATAGATGGAACAGAGTTAGGATCATGATATTTTAAGTTTAATTGAGTCATAAATTATTATTTTAGCAAGAAAAACCCTACGCTCTCAAGTATTTTTGTATAAAACATGACTACACAGAGGGGTGTACTTAATAATGACCATTTTAGCAACTTGAAGAAACAGTGCCAAGGCGAAAACATTGAAGACAACAGTAACTATTCCCTGTAAGTAAATAGAACTGCTGACTTTTAAGTGGCACTGTTTCTCAAACTTTTTCAGTTTATGTCCCATATGGGGCACATAGCTGAGTTTAGCTACAGATGTTTCTAGTTTTTTCTTTAAAAAAAAACCATATTAACAATGTTAGTATGTTAGTCTAAACTCTAACATACTTATGTTTGGAATTAACATTTCAATATAAATTATCTGGCTGGTTTTTTTTTTCTCGGCAAATAAACAATATTATGATGACAATAGACAATGCACCATAATCTTTCATACGCCTACAAGCAGCCTGTTTAAAATAAATCATGTAGATGTATTGGATCAATTTAATTTTCCCTTTTTTCAGCCTGAACTCCGTTTTTGAGGTGCCTATAGACCAGGCTGGCTTGTGCTGCTGCTGCCTTCATCTGCAAAGCCAGAAGGGCTTGTGGCAGACTTATGAATGGATGGCGGGCTGCGAAAAGTATGGGGATATGTTTGGGGAGTGCTTTGGGTTAGATGTAGGTATTATTTATTTCTTGCAGTAACAGATCATTTTGAGCTTTAATAACTTGTGTTGAGAACCAAAAACAATACAATTTTCTATTGTTTTTGTTTCTTGGCTTTCTGGAAAAATAATACATGACTTATCTGCAGTTTTAAAGGGGAATCTGGTGTCTGAAAACTGATTTTTTAAGATTATTAGCAATTTGTATTGCACAAATTACATAGTTATAGTAGTTCCGTTAGCCCCTCGTGTTAAGCTAATAAATAAGCTTGTGTTACGTGTGGGCTCACCATAATAGTCGAGTGGCGGTAGGATTCGAACCCGCGTTCTTTGGATCTCGAGTCGGCCAGTCCGACCCATCCACCGTTCGGCTATCGTGGCTATGATAATTTATCTTGACTTAAAAAGCTAGTAAACAGCTTTGACGAACATCATCTCGCTTTGAACTTGTTTTGGTTATGAGATGAGAGAGAAAACTTATTCATAAAATTTTAAATTCTGGTTTCAGATGTCAGATCAGATCAATGCAAAGATCTGCGAAGTGTGTATAACGCAACTGCGCAACGCGGTGTGTTTCAAGGCGCAAGTGTCTCGCTGTCAGGCTCGGCTACGTGAAGAAAGTGGTCAGTAAAATTAGGATTTTCTATAAGCGTTTCTTGAGACTAATTCATCGTGATTTTTAACTTGAGTCAGGATGTACGGCACGTCTAATGTCCTTGTAATAGGTGCTACTTTGCAACAAATTATTCTTTTTATACAAATTATTAGTATTCTGATGTTCTGTATACGAAATAGTATCTATCATTTTATGCCCTCAGTGAAAGAGTGCCTTTACATGCCAAACTTTTATTTAATTTAGAACTACATTTATCTCATTCTGAACAATTATTTCTGTGAGATTTTTAACGTATTTCTAAATAATTATTATCATTAATTAGTCTTTGTTTGTTGCATTTCGAAAAAGCTGGAGAAAGTGTGATGATTCTGAGCTGGTAATTTAAAATGTTTTTTATTACAGATGTGAAAACTCATGAGAGAAGACCAGATAAGCAAGAGAAAACGGAGAATGAAGTAAAAGTTGAATATGATTGTGACAGGAAAGATACCACAGATCACGACGATTTCTTTGAAGGTAAATCATTATGTTATGTTGCTATATTTTGGTTATCTAGCGCTATTTATGTTAAATTTTTTTAATCAATTTCATTCCAGATAGACCTCCCTCGGTGAAATCAGAAAATAGTAGTGATGAATCTAATAAAAAACTGAAAAGGGGAAATGATAAGAGTAGTCCAAAGAACTCGAAAAGGCTACCAATTATAAACAAGCGAAAGAAAGGGCAAGGGAAAAGACTAATCCAAATCAAAAAGGGTGAGTCAATAACCTTTAAAACTTTTCAAAAAATATCATATCTTGTCTTTATTTGCTAACCCATTTCTATATTTTACTTTCTAGATCCCAAAGTTGACCGCAGAACCGTAGCCTTCCAGTCAGTGAAGTATACGAAACCACGCAGAAATGTTGGCCTTCTATTAGAACATTCCACCATCTGCCCTTTCAAATACAGCCAGGCCTACTTCAAATGTTTCTACTGCAGTAAAAATTTCCTAGTCTTCCAAGAACTGAAGAACCATGTCATAGATTATCATTCGAACATCAGCTTTATTGACATAGTAAAAGGCATCACAAGACCGCACGATCAAGTCAAGGTGGACGTTAGTGAAATATCTTGCAAAATATGTAATGTAAAGTGCACAAAATTGGACGAACTGGTGATTCATTTGAGTGTAACACACAGTGTGAAATTCGATGAGAATCCAGAAGATTCAGTTATAAGCTACGATTTGGGTGATAATAAATTTAAATGTACGGTTTGCAAGGAAGAGTTTTTGTTCTTTAAAACGCTAGCGAAGCATATGAACGAACACAGTTCGAACCATGTCTGCGATGTGTGTGGGAAGTGTTTTCTTCTTATAGAAAGGCTGAGGGTACACGTGCAGATGCATTCGGAGAATGCCATTAAATGTGATAGCTGCGACAAGATTTTGCCCACAAAGCAAGCCTTGAAAAGCCATATACGTTATGCTCACGAGAAAAAACTGTACGCATGTTCAATTTGCAACGAAGCGTTTCCAACTTATAGGAAAAGGTTGCAGCATTTCGTAGAGAGGCACGGTCGAGCCCCTTTGAGTTTGCAGTGCGACCAGTGCGACAAAACTTTTAGCTCTAACAGCAATTTGAATCATCATGTCAAGCATAAACACCTTATGGTGCCTAGAGAAGCAAAGTATACATGCGAGGATTGTGGTAGAAAGTTTAAAACGAAACGCGTTTTGACTGGTCACAAGCTTGTGCACTCAGGCGAGAAAAACTTCGAGTGCGAGGTCTGTAAAAAAAAGTTTGGGAGACTGAGTTCGTTGAAGGAACATTTGAAGATACATAGAAATGATAAGAGATGGTCGTGCGGTGCTTGCGCCGTTTGTTTTGTACAAAAATGTAGCTTGAAAAACCATATCAGAGTGAATCATGCTGAATATAATGTGGCTGATTTGATTGTTTATAAAAGTCCTGATAAATAAATAACTTTTACAATAAAGATGTGTGACTTTTCATGTTTTTTTTTTACAAAAAAATCAAAGATTTTTTTTTTTTAAATTAATTATCGTGTGTAACTGATAAAGTCATATACAGTGTGAGTCACGTTAAAGTGTACATATGAAAATAGATGAAACTAGACCTATTTTTATCGACAAAAAAGAGGACAAAAATTTTTTGAGATTTTTTTTTATTTTTTTATAGATTTTTTTTCTTCCAATTACTTGTTGTAAAGAAAACGTAATAACTTTTAATCTAAGCGGTAGATCCTGATAAAATAAAAACAGTAATAATGCTAAATAACAGGCGATAATAAAAAATACATAAAATACACAAAAAAGGCCAACAAATAATAAAAAATGATACTTTTTGAAAAAAATCTGCTTAAAAATTCGTGTTTTTTTGGTTATTTGATAAATTTCTCCAAAAAATGCCCCTATAACCGGTGGTTTTTATTAGTTTGTATTATTCTCTATCGTATTACCTTCGTAAAACCAAAAATCGCATGTCTCTATCCCTATCACAACGTTTGCAATGATCGTTTGAACTAAGCCTTTCCGGGCGCGCCATTCAACGCTTCGATAACAACAAAACTGAAAATGGCTCCAGATTTGTAATTTTGATAAAGACTAGTTAGATTTCAAATAAAAACAAAAGATTTCGAAGTAAAATAAGCATTTTAGTTAAAATTAAAATTGTCTCTACCTGTAGCGGAGAATAATGTTGTGGCAGGCCTTTGTTCAAACGATCATAGCAAATGTTGTGATAGGGATAGAGACATGCGATTTTTGGTTTTACGGTGTATATTGATATAAGTAGAAATTTTTGGACGATTTACCCTAAATAACCTGAAATAATGATTCCTCATAGTGTAATTACTAATGTTTGTTTTACAACTTTTTCTAAAATTAAAGAAACAAAAAAATATCAACAGAAATAGCGTAAAATGTATCACTTTACACTTGTTAGCGGGTGGTCAATTCAGTGTGGTGTAAAATGATTTATGTCCTATTACATCACTTTACACGAATGTAAAGTTGCCGTGCATGGCGATATAACTGGGTTTTTATTTAATTACGAAAAAACTACATGCTATATTTCCCAAACTGGCACACTGCCTAATTATATCTAACATTACCTTTCACCTAAAAAATATTTCACCAAGTTATCTCTAATAGCGACGAAGCAGGATTTTTTTTAACTTCAAATGCGATTTCCCAAAAATCACCATTTTCGACTTAACTCCGTTTTCACTGGGGGTACAGAACTGTCCCACCAAACTCAATGACAGGGGGGCGCTACCATCGTTCAACTTTATGGTTTCCAACATGGCAAAAATCTGAACCAGCGATCCGGTATTGACGGTGGCGCCCCACTGTCAATGTCATCGACAGGACAGTCCAGTATTTTGGAACTATACAAATTATTTGAAGTCACGGTATATTTTTTTATTTTAAATCACGATTTTCTCAATCATTTTAAGAATCGGACGTTATAAGCACACAGAGTTCAGAATCGGCCCCTTACGTTTAGTTTTAAAGATAGTGAAGTGATTAACAGTTAATCGAATATTTAACTATCTTGCAGTGCTTGCAGCGAGAGAGACGTCCTCTGTCCATATATATTTAGCTCTAATCCTCATTACACACAAAAATTAAAATCGAATTACTTTCCAAAAATACCTACAAAATTATTTTTGAATATCAATAGAAATATGTAGTTTTTTTTTCGATTATGAACAATGTAAACACAACGCGTACCTCCCTACTTAATGTTGTGATTGGTCAGTGTTGCCAGAAGGTTACTTTTGTAACCTTTTTGGTTACTTTTGAACTGCTGTGGTTACTTTTAGGTTACACTAATGAAAAGGTTACTTTTAGGTGATTTTTCAGAAATTGTAGAATTAACTTTACAGGTTATTCAGTAAAAATTTTTAATAGAGACAATTTAAAAATTATGTCATAAAGTGCATTTAAACTTGAATTTGATTTATTATTTGTTAAGAAAAATGAGTTTTAGCGAATGTTTTTCGATAATAAAACGCAAATCATGATCAATTGTATTCATTTT